GGCTCCAGGAGCTCTAGGCCTCGCCCAGCCCAGACTTCTCGCGAGCTCGGGGACCGGAGAGGCCTGCGGGAGTCCGGGACTCCCGCTGGAGGCGTCCACCACCTCCGCTCTCCTGTCGCGGCGTCGAGGGTGGACTCCAGGCAGTGTCGCTTGGGCGGCTGTAGCCTGGGAAGCGGGCCGTGACCCCGGAGAGATCGCGGTGCCGACGTCAGGGGCGCAGGCGGCTTGTGGGTGACAGATCGGCGGTAGTGAGACTTCCGGGTCTTCGGGGCTTAGCCCTTGTGTTTTTGGCCTCAACTTTGCTCCTGGGTAATATGCTTCCCAGAACTGTCGGGAGCAAATGGGCTCTCAGCGTGTGGCAGTTTAAAGACCACGGTGCACAAACACTTCAAAATAATAACGAAGCCATGTGTTACTCTCGCCCGGCACCAGGACTCCCGCCACGACTCTTTAGTGGCTTGTTTCTAGCGCTAGAAGATCGGCGTCTCTCTGGGGCCAGGTTGTCAGTGGCTGGCTAGCACACGGTAGGTTTCCCATAGGCAAGCATGGCTGACCTATGGGGTTCAAGGGTCTGGCCGCCGGTGTTACAGGAGGGAACACAGGGCTGGTAGAGTTCGCACGACAGGTGGCACAGCTCCTGTGCCACTGCGTGCCAGGCAAGCCCCAAAGGAAATGAGACCACCGGGCACTGTCGCAGGGAGCAAACTTGAGAGAGAATGTGAGTCTTTGGGTTAAGAGCGGTTCCGTCTGCCTGGCTCACCAAAGTAACCTGGGCCGGGACAGCTTTCTCCACACCGAGGCTCCCAGCACAAGTACACACAAGGTCAGACCGGAGGCTTATGCAGGACTGCCCAGACTTCGAGGTCAGCCTTGGTTTCAGTGGGAGGCCCTTTGGCAACAACAACAACAACAACAAAAAGTAAATAAATTAGGTCAGGCCCTGAATAAGTGTCACTCTCTTACCCCCCTCCATCCCCATTTTGCGCAGACAACATAACCTTGTCCCTTTAAATCCGGAGAGCGTCTGTGGTTTCCGCCCCCGACGGTCAAGGGGCGTGCCTGGCGATCATTGGCTGAGCTGCGCAGTTTTGAGCACGTGGGCGCACGAGTTGTGCTCTCGGATTGGAGCGAGGGCTTGCTTCTCCAGCGTGCCTTTCGGGTCATCTGCCGCCCCGGGGCTCGGCGTTCGGTTCCCGGGGCTTGCACGTTCCATTCTCAGGCAGGTCCTGGGGCTCCAGGATCCTGCTCGCTGCGTCCTCGGGTCGGTGTGTTCACGCCGGGAAACAGGTACGGCTGTAGCGCGCGGGGAGGCCCGGGGTCTCCCAGTCCCGGGCGTGACACGCGTCCCTAGGCAGGTGGAGGCGTGGCTTGTGGTCACACTGCGGTGGGAGGGAGGACTTGGGGACTGAAGACCTGAGTTCGAATGTTAGCGTTGGCCCTTCCCGATTTGGGTATAGCATATGATTTCCATGGCCTCAGTGATTTTCCCCTTGAATAGAGTTTAAGAGTCGTTTATATGTGGTTACACGTTTCTGCTCAGCCCTGATTCATCCACGACAATCAGTTTTGGCCCGAGAGGAAGGACAGATAACCAGGCTATGAAGAGTCGGATTATTTTGTTATTTTTGTTTGTTTTGAGCAAGGTCTTTATTATGTAGTTATGGCGGTCCTCCAACTCACGAGGTAGATCAGGCTTGCCTCGAACTCACGGAGATCTTACTGCTTCTGCCTCCTGAGTCCTGTGATTAAGGTCTACACCACCACCCTGGACCTGCGTTGGTTATTTTTAACCACCTGTTTTATCCCCTCTTGCCCGGAGTTTGACTTTAAGATCCTTCCACGTGCAGGGCTAAGGCCCACTTTAGACAGGTGATGGGACAGAAGCCCCTTTCAGTTCTCAGAGTGGGGTCCTGGTCCTGGTCCGAGGGCAGTGGTAGACAGTAATGGAGGAGCAGAACCGGCTTCTAAGATTATCATAGGCCCCTTAATGGCCTTTGACCTTGCCAGGTCCCAGGACAGGGTCTTATTTTTAGTCTGGGAGAGCAGACAGGTGTCCGTCCCAGCTGGGTCACAAAGTGCCTCAGGCTTCAGCTACTCCCGGCATCTTGTCACTTGGCAACTGGGTCCCAAGGCACCCATGGCCCCGAAGGGAGGGCTGAGGTCTTTGGTGTCCCAGCAGGCAATGACCTTCTGGTTTAGTGGACTGGGCCCTGGTAATTTCTGTTTGCTTTCTCAGGTTCCTGACCCGGTCTAGCTTTCCTTACTGGTGCTATCGTGCAGAAAAACCAGAAACCCTGGGCTATGGGCCTCCCTCTCACCTTCCCATCCCCAACATTGTTCTGAGTTTAAGGGGCCTGGCCAGCTTCTCCTCATTCAGTGGGCTATTTTGGGTTACTTTGCTCATCACTGGACCATGAAGCTTTTATCCTTGACTTGTACATGCCCTCAGCTTGGCATCTGATGGGGTTGTCCTGCCTCTGGAAGTTTTCCTGTCAAGATTTGGGGGAGGAGCCAGTAACTGGATCCCTAAATTTGCTGAGGATCTATCATAGGTCCAACAGGTCCCACCCAAACAGGCTTTCTGGAAACCCACATTACAAGTCTTTCTGGGGGCTTTGGGCTCCTCCTGACAGGCTGTCACACAGAGTGGCTGTTCTGGGTGGATCTGGATTAGGAGTCTAGAGCATGACTAGGAGCCATGGGGAAGTAGAAATACCCAGACTTTGCGAGCGGATGAGGCTGGAGGTTGTGTTTTGAGCCCCAAACTGTAACACTCACTCTGTTGGCTTGGCAGCTTTTGTCTGTGTAGAGTAAGGGTAGCGATGGGGAGATCTGTTTCTCAAGGTCTTGGCAGATGTCAGAGACCTTGGAGGATGAAGCCAGGAAAGAGGCTTGGAGCCTTCCTCTGTGAGCCCCCTTCCAGAAGTGGGAAGCATGCGGGTTTCAGGGAGGGCCTGGCAGTTCCCTTATTTCCTTCTAAGGAGCCCTTTGAGCAGCCCCTTTCTCGTGAGTCCCCAGGAAGCACCCTCTTGATTATTGCTGAGCATATATGTATGTTGGCCCTACCACTCTAGCTGTCCTCGCCCTCAGTAACACACCCCTGCCTCTCTTGCAGGCGACCATGGCAGAGTTTTCACAGAAGCAGAGGAAGCAGCGTGGTGACGAAGGCCTGGGCAGTGTGGTGGACTTCCTCCTGGCTAATGCTCGTTTGGTGCTAGGTGTGGGCGGGGCTGCAGTGCTAGGCATTGCCACCCTGGCTGTAAAGCGGGTAAGGCCAGGCTTGGCAAAGCCTGCCTGAGACCTCCACAGGAGGAGGTGGGACTGGGGAGCTGGAGGATGGCGGGACTTTCTTGCTTTTTTGTTTTTGTTTTTGGAGACAGTTTCTCTTTGTAGCCCTGGCTGTCCCGAAATTCACTCTAAAGACCAGGCTGGTCTGGAATCCACAGAGATCCGCCTGCCTCTGTCTCCTAAGTGCTGGGATTAAAGGCGTGTGCTACCACCGCCTGGCAGTGGTGGGACTCTTTGAGGCTGGACTGGAACAACACGGGCCCCCTCCTTTTTCACTCTAGCTTCCTGGTGTGCTCCCCTCAGCTTTGCCACGGCCCCCGATGCTCTGATCTGTGTCACTTTGCCTATAGCTCATCGACAGGGCCACTAGCCCTCGGGATGAGGATGACACCAAGGGGGACGGCTGGAAGGAACTGAACCTGCTGAGAGCCACATCACACCAACAGCCCCAACCCCCCCCTGCTGCCCTCAGCCAGCCCATATCTCTTGTGTCCCCCTCACCCTCTGTCCCAGGTGAGCGGCACTTCTTCCTAGCCAACGTGGTGAGTCCCGTGCAGGAGATGCAGTCTTCACAAGGTTTTGTTCCTCTTTGGGTTGTAGGCTCCGCAGGTGGTCCACAGGTATCGTAGGTCTCTGTTTCACTGTTGTGCTAAGGATAAAACCCAGAGTCTCACAGATGCCAGGCCAGTACTCCACCACTGAGTAGCTCCACAGCCCTGGGGTCCTTGATTTATCTGTCTGCTTTCGACCATAGCAAGCTTGCACCATATAATGGTAGAGAGTCTCAGATAGGGAAACTGAGGTCGGGAGAGATCAGGATCTGTCTTCCCCAATCTCCGTGAAGTTGTTTTAGTTGTAGGAGCCCAAGTGTTGGGACTCTGGGCCAGTGGGACTTTGTCCTCATGTCCACACTGTCCTAAGGACCTGAGCTCAGGTCTTTCTCAGTGGCCGTCACAGGTGAGGAGGAAGCCCAGTGCAGCCATACAGCTAGTGATCAGGTAGTTTTCCTAACTTGTTAAGGGACCTTCTGATCTGTCCTGGATGCTTCCCTCTGCAGTGGAGCCCACACCCGCTCATTCTCAGACCACATCGATGCCTCAACCCAGCTCCCTAGCACCCTTGTGCCTGACGTTCCAGGAGAAGCTGCTGGCATTTGAGCGCAACCACGTGACTATCCCAGAAGCCCATGTGGCTTTGGTGAAACAGCTGGCTGGAGACATTGCCTTGGAGCTGCAGGCCTACTTGAGGAACAAGTTCCCAGAACTGCCCTTTGGTGCGCTCGTTCCAGGCGGGCCTCTCTACGATGGGCTACAGGCAGGGGCTGCTGAGCGTGTGCGCCTGCTAGCACCCCTGGAGTTAGAACCAGGGCTGTGGAGCCTGGTACCTGGCATGGACACTGTGGCCAGGGAACCTCGATGCTGGGCTGTGCGCAGGACCCAGCTTGAGTTCCATCCCCGTGGGCGCAGCCCATGGGATCGCTTCCTGGTTGGGGGTTACCTTTCCTCCCGTGTCTTGTTGGAGCTGCTACGGAAGGCCCTGGCAGCCTCCGTCAACTGGCCAGCCATTGGTAGCCTACTTGGATGTCTGATCCGGCCCAATGTGGCTTCTGAGGAGCTGCTGCTGGACGTGCAACATGAGTGTCTGGAGTTCACTTTAGCTGTGCTCATGGTGGTCCCTGGGGCCAGCACTGATGATCGCCTTCTGCTGGCTTGGCCGCTGGAGGGGCTGGCTGCCAATCTCTGGCTGCAGGATCTATATCCTGTAGAGGCTGCCTGTTTGCGGGCCCTGGATGACCAGGATGCTGGCGCTCGCCGGAGGTTGTTGCTGCTGCTATGTGGTGTATGTCGTGGCCATCCGGCTCTGGTGCGACTGGGCTGGAGCCACCTGACCCAGGTGGTTCTGCATCTGGGTAAAGAGGAAGTAGCCTGGACCGAGGAGGCCTTGGGGGATCGCTTTCTGCAAGCCCTGGAGTTTCTGGTGGGCAGCTTGGAGCAGGCTAACCTGCCCTGTCACTTCAACCCTGGCGTGAACCTCTTGGACAGTTTTCGGGAAGAGGAGATCGATGACATTGGCTATGTACTGTATAGTGGTCTGCAGGTCCCTGAGAGCCTACTCTAGGTAGATGAGGCCCATGATTGACTTGTTCTTCTGATGCTGGAGAGCAGCAACCACCTCCCTCCAGGGATACTGCAGAGTGTGGTTTGCTTTATTTTAGCCGGAGTGGAGGGGAGGATGCATTACCTAAGCCTGTGGGTAGGCATGTGCCTGGGTGATGGTGACCAGGATTCCCAAATCCAGAGTCTGGGTTCATGTCACCTAATGTGACCAGCCTGTCCTGGCTTTTAATGCCAGCCGCACAGATGCCCCTTGGCCCTCTGGGGTTATCTTAGGATCTTGGGCTTAGTCTATCATGACCAGCAATGAACTTCCCAAGAATGTGACATGGCTTTTGATTTCCTAGACTTCACCTACATTTTTCCAAGAAGGACACTTAATGTTCTTGGTTGGGTAACAGCCCCAGGTATCCTGGAGGCACACACAGTTGGTCACTGAGTCTTATGTGTTTGTTACTCTCTGGGGCTGGAATCATCTGGTGCCCTGGAAGGTAGCTTCTTAGCTGTTGAAGGATGGCGTTCTCCTGACAGTCACGCATTTGTTTTTCTGGTTGAGTCCTCAGGCCTTGAAATGGAAGTGGTCTTCCTTGCTGCCTGCCTGCCTGCCTGCCTTATACCCTAGGGAAGAAAGGTCTTGTTTCCTCCTGCTAGGTGGGTTTTTTCTGTAGGTCACAAATTACCTCTGGGAGAGCCCCTTCCTATTTGGGAGCTGAGCTCTGTGCTGCCTGTGCAAGGCTATCCCATTGCGAGTAGAGGACATGCCCCTCCCAGAGGCCTGCGTGCAGCCATGGCCTATGCAACGTGCCAAAATATTCAGAAGTGTCTGTGTCCTCACCTGGAACCCTGATTAAGGTGGCATGGCTGGAGGAGGGAGATTACCTCCTCTGCCAGGGGCCCTTTCTATTTTAGGTACCCCCCACCACACACACACACAGACATTGAAACAATGCTATGCCTGAAGAGTGAATAAAAGAAGGATCATTTTTATACCTGTGTGATTCTTGCTGGCAGAAAATGGTCTTAATACCTTCATAGGTGGATGCTTGGAGCTTCACAAGTCTTGTAGCTGGCTTGATGTGGAGGCTTGAGGTCATCATGGAGATGGTCAGATTCCTTTTTAAAAAGTCTTTTCAGGAGCCGGGCAGTGGTGGTGCACGCCTTTAATCCCAGCACTCAGGAGGCTGAGGCAGGTGGATCTCTATGAGTTTGAGGCCAGCCTGGTCTACAGGGCTAGTTCCAGGACAGCCAAGGCTACACTGAGAAATCCTGTCTCAAAAAACCCCAACAACAAAAAAGTCTTCAGGCTGAAGAGATGAGACTTGCCGTCTGCACTATGGGAAAAGAGCTGTTGGGTCCCAGCCTGAGAGACCCTCATGTATGTGGTCTCAGTAACAACTGAGGAGCCACTTGATATACAGCTGCTTTGGCTCAAGTACCAACTATTCAAGAGACACTGTTCAGTCTTTGGTTCAGACAATCCCTGATTCATCTTAGCCTTCAGTCATGGTTTTATCTGGCCTTGAACTCATGCTATATCCAGTTGCAGACTTCCAGGTCTGTGAGAGATCTGGGACATAAGTATGCCCCAGTGTCCCCTTCTTTGGAGACGATGTGGATAAAGGGTGGAAGCCAAAGTGTGGGAAGAGATCTACCTCACTCCTCAGGTCTCTAAAATAAACCTTCAATTCCATGCATGGCCTCTGACACTTGTACTTTTGTTTGTTTTTCAAGTCAGGGACCTCCCTGCCTCTGCCTCCCAAATCCGCAAGGCGTGTGCCACCACTGCCCAGCAACGTTCGCACTTTGAATACCCAGCTTTCCTTTATAATCAGGTACGTGTCTTCAAGAACAGCCTTTAATGTTGAGTCAGGCAGTTGCAGCAGAAAATGCCTGGCACATATCCCAAGGCAACACCAGCGACTCTGGTGATCCTCACACTGCTTGGCAAACTCCAGGGCAAGGCTGGGCCTTAGTGGGTGGATGCCCAGTGTCCAGGCCTTTTCCAAATTTGGATTGCAGGCGGTTAGTACTACCCTCCAGTGTGGAAGCTGGCATTTGAGGTAGGGTTATATGGCCTTGGTAACAACTGAGGGATTGACCTGTCTCTTGGTGGTAGGAAGTGGGTGTCCTGATTTGCCAGAGCTCTTACGCAGAGAAACCCTGTCTTGAAGAGTGAGAGAGAATCTTTCAGGGCACTTTGGGGTCCTGAGCCTGTGAACTCTGTGGTACAAATATACAGTGTCCCTAAGTGTTGAAGTTTGGTCCATGGTGGCTGATGAGTCTGTCAAGCTCAAAAGAAAATATCTCTATTAACAGGAATGGGCAGGGGCTGGGGCACAGCTTGGGGGCAGAGCCTGTTTAGCATGAGGTCCTGGCTTTACCATCAGCACAGATTAAAGGCAGTGGAGCTCAGCAGCGGAGGACCTGCTCACCACACAAAACCAACAAAGGACTTGCAGGCATGGAGCCAGACATGATTTGTCTGTCAGACTCTAGGACTGAGGGGCCTATTCGGCCTAGGCCTTTAGGGTGTTTTCAGGGGTAGAACTCACAGCTGTGGTGGTTAGTTTTGTTTTGTTTTCCAAGTTGGAACAGCTAGGGTCACCTGGGATGAAGAAACCTCAATTGAGAATATCTCTTCAGACTGGCCTATAGGCACGGTTATGAAACATTCTCTTGGTTAATAATTGATGTGGGAGGGTTCAGTTGATGGTGGGCAGTGCCAGCCCTGGGCAGGTGGTCCCTAGTTGTACAAGAAAACAGAACTGAGCAAGCCATGGGGAGCAAGCAGTGTTCCTCCATGCTTTCTTAAAACCAGAAAGGTACATAGGGCGAGAGAGAGGCAAGAGAGGCGAGACCTATGAGCGCACGCTGGACAGGGGGAATGTGGGTATACAGCTATAGGGTCATGGCCGCTCTCAAGTTACATCTCTAACCCAACTGAGAAGGGTGTCCCTCCCCGTTCTGATATTGCTCAGTGTGGCCTCGGTGCCCATTAGAGCAGCACATGCACTAAACAGATTAGCATGGCCTCTGCACAAGGATGACATGCACATTCACCTTTTTTTTGTCTCTTGGGTTACAGTCATGTCTGTAAACTCATCTGTGATGGAAACAAAAACTTAATAGTTTTCAGGAAGGTTTCTGAGGGTGCTGCTGGGGTTTAGGGAACAGGTTGTGCCTGAGACTCAATGGGATACGTGACCCTAAGTGAGGGCAAGCCTGCCTACTGCCCTGAGTGTCTTTGGAGTACACACCTTGCTTCCACAAGCAATTTTGGTTTTATCAGCGCTGTCTGAAATGGCTCAACTCCATTAGCAGGGTCCGCAAGCCTGAATCGCCTCCTTCCCGCCTCGATGGCAGTAGCAGCACCCCAGACCCTGTGGCCAGCAGAGCAAGTATAGTGGTGCATGCCTGAAGCAGAAGAATCAGGGTTAAGGATCATGTTACTGCATACATACTAGCATGGCTGTAAGATCATGAAAAAAAGGGTGGAAAAGCAGTAACTTCACATGTGCAGACACTATAAACGTTTAAAGTTAGCTAAAGGTTTTAACATTTCATTGCTATACATACATCCAAAATGGCTGAGATGGCCACCCAGATAGCAGTGATGAATGTCACAGCGGCATGGCTCACAAGCATGTGACACAGCAGCCCCTCTCACTCCATTCGGTGCCCTGCAATCTATTGTGGGCACAAAACATCTGAGGGAAGGCAAGGAAGCCATCACTTTCCATCTCATCACCATCAGTTTCTCATCTTCACTGTGCTCCCATTGTATGCTGCTGTTAAAAACATACATAGTTTGGTACCAACTGGGGCTTCATGTTACATCAGGAAGTGGAGGATATGGCCCTACATATATGCAGGACAACTGCCATACCAATCAGAGCTTAGTCAGACATAAAGATAAAGTATGGGGGCTGGAGTGATGAAGTGTCAGTTCGTAACACTTGTCCTGGAGGTCTAGAGTTTGGTTCCACACGACATTGTGTGGCTTAACAACTGCTTGTAACTCCGGCTCTAGAGACTCGAGGCCCTCTCCTGGCCTTGGTCGGTACCTGCACACATGTGGTATACATTCCAACACACATAATAAAAATAAATCTTAAAAAAAAAAAAAGCAATGCTGGGCAGTGGTGACACACGCCTTTAATCCCAGCAATCGGGAGGCAGAGGTACAATCTCAACAAATCCTGTGAACGTTATGCTAAGGGAAGGAAGGCACATGAGGTTCTTATGTGAAGTGATCAAACAGGTCAGCCCAGCAGGGACAGATGCTAAATGCAGGCTGCTAACTGTCCCCACTGAGCAAAGGTAGGAAAACTCACTGCTGAAAGCCTGCTGTTGGTCAGGCTGAGAGCTACTGGTCTAAGTGAAGGCTACTGTTCAGACCTGAAAACTCCACTTGCTTCATGAACTAGCAACTCAAGCAATCCACATTTCACTTCTCAACTGTAGGATAAAGCTAGCACAAATCTTCTAGAAGTTTATGAGGGGGGAAAAGTGCATGGCCTCCTCTGGAAAGTATGAAGGAAGAAAGTCAGTGTCCCAATCTGCCATCTTCAAGGGACAAGCCACAGCAAGGAAGAACTGGGACAAGGGGTGCTGAGATGGGTGGAGTCCCAGGGAGAAGGCCCTGTGGCCTTCCCTGGCTTTTGTTGGCATCCCTAGACTGCACACCATCAGAAAAAGTGGATGAAGTATTTTATTAAGGCACATGAGCTATGAGTGTCCTAGATGGAGCAGGAATGGAAGCTTCTGCAGATACATTAGGAGAGCTACTTCCCAGGCAGCTGCAGAGCCAGTGTTGGCTGGAAGCACTACCCGCTTCTCACTTGGCAGACAGCAGCCAGTCAGGGCTTGGATGTCACCAAGGTCAGTTTCTGCTTACACAATGACTGACCATCTTCTCACGTTTCAGCAGTGCAGCTGCTGGAGTCACTCCTGAGCACAGACAGGAGTAGCATCTTGCAGAGCTGGATGGACTCCCCAACAAAGGAAGGTCAGCCCCAAACCCAGCACCTCCCTAGGTTTTAAGACAGTGGATGGCCACCTGGTCCCAGTTAGCTCATTTCCTGGTCTAGGCAACGTCCTCCATCTTGCCTGTCCTCATCTGTTCTGAGGACAAAAAGGGCGGGTGTGTCCAGGCTGGTGGCAAAGGCTACATTTCCGGGGCTTTTTTGCTGTAGATCCTGCATCTGAGGAACCTGCTCTTAGTCTTTTGCTTGCAGCCTCTGGTCTCTGGGCTTTTCCTCTGCCTCCTGGCCATGGTGGGGCTGTAAAGTTCCCTGTGGGAGGAGACAGGAAAAAGCTGAATTCACAACTGATACCCTCAGGTAGCAAGAACAGATGTGCTCCAAGTTGTGGTGGTGTAGACCTGTAATCTAGTACCTGAGAGGCAGAAGCAGCTCAAGGGCAGCTTGGCCTACATAAGCCTGTCTCTGAAACAAAACCCAAATCAAGGGGCAGTGCTGGGTAGAGGTGGCATCCCTCTAACAAGTCAGCTGAACCCAGGGGCTAGACTCCCTTTGCTCTGTGAAGGTCAGCTCCATGTCAAGAATAAGGTATATCCTACCCTGTTACCTCCTTTCCTTTTCTTTTTACATTATTTTACTTTATACATCTTTAATCCCAGCATTCAGGAGGCAGAGGTAGGAGGATCTCTGTGTTATAAGTTCAAGACCAGCCTGGTCTACAAAGTGAGTTCCAGGACAGCCAAGGCTGTTACATCAAGAAACCCTGTCTCAAAGAAAAAATAAAACAGAAACAAAACACAAAAAAAGATCCCCTCAGGTTTTAAGCTATGTGTGTGTGTGTGTGTGTGTGTGTGTACATACACACACACACACACACACACACACACACACACATATATGAGTACAGGCGCCTGCAGAAGGGGACACTAGATTCCCTGGACCTGGAGTTCTAGGTGGTTGGTTGTGAGCCACCTGATACGGGTGCTAGAACCGAACTCAAGTCTT